TTTTCTGCTACCATGACTAGTTAGGCATTTAAGTGCAAGTTGGTGAATCAAAAATCTGAGCGCAGATGCCCTTCACTGTGAGAGATGTACAGAGAAAGCAAGTTCTTGGAAGCATTCCCATCTTCCAGTCTGCATCACCTCAGTCTTGCATAGGGTCAACTTTTGGAATTAAAGCCTCCATTTAATGCAGATGCACTGTGCACTCTTAAGTAAAACAGTGTGGAGACAAAGAAGTACATGTAAGTTCCTATCTGAACTTTTCAAACAATGCTACTCAAATTTGATGAATTCTAGAATAGAGTTAAAACTCTGGGGAATATGTACAGGCAGAGGCCAATTCAGAGCTGAACTGATGCTACTCACCATCTACAATTCTACAATCTAAGAATTTCCTGTATTGGTGAGGCACAGGTATCTGAAGGAAGGCATCCTTCCAATGGACCAAACATAGAATGGCTCTTAGTCTGACAGTGATACATGGGAGGTCTATCCAGAAACTACATCTCTATGTACCTGTTCACTTCCAAGAGTCAAAAACAGGGTACAAGCCTGGATTCTTTGGAAGCTACAGAACAGAGAGGGATAAGTATCTTAGCTTTTATTCATGAAACAACATGCAAAAGATCTCTTTGTCTGGAGAACTTTCAGTTCATTAGAGTGAAATCAGGGAAGGGGAAACATTGGAGCTCTATATTATTTCAACTGCCCAGATATTTACCATTTTGAGAACTGAATGGTATACAGCACCTTGTAACATTTGAGTGTCAGATCCTGGTCAAGGTAAGATGTCTTGTGCCTTACAGGTTGGATATAACAAGGTGAAATGTAGTTTGTTAAGAGTAAATGCAGCAGATACCATTAATTTTTTTTTTTTAATTGTGGCATCATTTGTTACGGACTTCAGATCTTAGCTATAGACAGCCAACTGAATCTCATTGCCTTTCCTTTTAATGCATCAGTTAGTGATAGAAAAACTGGCTTTGTTTGTTGATTTCCCTTCCTTTAACCAGACAATATCAATTTCTAATGAAGTGCCCGTGTGGTCTGTATTGATTTTGTAGTCTAACCTCAGCTGGAACCACTTTTACCATACAGCTTAAGATACAGAAGTTATTTCTTAGTCTAAGAAAAGAGGAAATGCAATGATCTCAAACCAGCATGTGGTAATGGTTGGTAAATGTTGACTTTAGTGGCCACCACTGCCTGGAAGTTGCTAAAGACAACAAAGCATGCAGAAAATGTGGCTTCTCAGAGCAACAGAAGTGAATGCCAATACAGAGGCATCACAGTGGATGCAAAAGTAAGGTTAGTCTCTGTGGTAAGACATCTTATCTTGAAAGCCTCATCGGTTTTCTTGGTCCCTGGTACGTCAACATAAGGCTTCAATGCACCTCTAAGACTACAGCATTCTGATGTCATGTCTCCCTTTAAGGGTACGTCTACACTTACTGGAGAGTCTGGCGGCAGGCAATCGATGTTCTGGGATCGATCCCGGAAGTGCTCGCCGTCGACGCCGGTACTTCAGCTTGGCGAGAGGACTACGCGGCATCAACAGGGGAGCCTCCCTGCCACGTCTGGACCCGCGGTAAGTTCAGAATAAGGTACTTCGAATTCAGCTACGTTATTAACGTAGCTGAATTTGTGTACCTTAGTCCGAAGTGGGGGCTTAGTGGGGACCAGGCCTAAGAGGCAGTAAAGAGACTGATGAAGAGGATTGGGCCACATATATCGAACAGGTTTCAGTTTAACCATCCTGCTTCTGGTAGCTGGAGTTAATCATAAGTTAAACAACAACGTTTGGTGTTAAAGACAGAACACAGAGCTGTTACTTTTATAAACATTTTGTTGTTCTATTTTTATATTTACATCCATGTTTTCTCATCATGTTACACATCATCATGGTATCCAAACATGCTACTGTAAGCAGGCAGACATACCTGAGTAAAAATATTGTGAGTTTGGCTTAGAATCCACTTGGCATCAGCATCAGGAGCTACAAATAGTTTCAAGGTCCCTATGTAAACGTCACTACAAAGGGTCCAGAAGTGTGGATCATGTAAACTGTAAACTCCTTGCAACTGCTGAACCTAAAATACCGACGACAGACATTTCAAAAATGATTTCTGAAAAAAAATACATTACTACACACTAGCAAATAGCTAATAAAAATGTCAGGCAATACTCTCATCTTCACAAGAGCATTTAGTGAGGTCTCATCGAAATTAGTTAGTACTTTTGTCTTCATAAGTCTGAGAAGGAGAGAGTTAAGTGGAAAGGCTAAGAACAGTTCTATTACATATCCACACAACTGCTGCACTAGGCTACAGTTGTATTACACATTCCCTTCACTGGAACCTGGTGTTCTTCACTCCCATCCCACACATGTACAGTTATTTCAGGGGGTGTAAGATGCACCCACTTCTCATCTCAACCAGGAATTCTTTTTGTGAGATGTTTAATGCTACGCAGCAACCCCATAAACCACTGGGGGAAAAACAGGGACATTTCTTTGGTACATGCATCATGCTAGCATTCCATAAGAGACATGCAACACATTCAGTACTGTATAAGTATCAGGGACACAATGCCAAATGCAAACTATGACCTTCCTTTTGTATTTACTTCCAATGTTTTCAATATGCCTCAACACTTCTTACGAAAGGTTAAGGTAACTGCTCCAGAGAGGGAGAGAAAAATATTCCTTTGAATAGAAAAAGGATCTTTAGCAATGGCTGCTGAACATCAGTTCAGAACTGGAGAACAAGCAAATTCTACAGACAATGATCCAACTGGCCTTCCTGTGAAATTTCTATTATACTGCTCTCTAATATGCACATTAGGCTTATACCCCTTTGTGACACGATACATTAAAAAAATGATTTTGAGATCTATTCCAAGCCAAAAGTGTATACAGTGAAACAGCAAATCATTTCAAAATATAAAGTTTTGGTTGGGACTACAGAATATGTAGAATTTGGGACTTCAGATGGTCAAATCCATTGTTTTTGTTATGCTTTTGACCATTTCCAGATAAGTGTTCATTCATTTGTATAAGTTTAGGATAGATTTAAGGAATCCTCTGTGGATTTACTGTTAGGAAAACATTCCAAAACATCCCCTAGAAGTCCAAACGTATGTTGCTTATTCATTTAATAGTTAAGTCTTATGCAAAAATGTCCTGAACTGGAACAGCTCACCCTCTGATAGCACTGAGGCAGGGCACTTTCCAGGGAAGGTGGCGTTCGCTGCATTAAGATTCCAATGGACTCTCTTAAAAGTGGAACAACACTAGAAAGAAATAAAACAGTTAATTACAGCCACATCGTCAAAGGATGCAGAATACAACAGCAATATTACCACTTTCTGATAGAATGAGTAAAATCAGTCAGGAAATATGAGGCAATACACTGAGGAGAAAGCATTATTACAGATTTGTCACAGTGAAAAAAAATGTTACAAAAGTCAAAAGGGTTGACATCATCACAGTAATACAAAGCATGAATCTTTGTCACTCAAGCATTTTCTATAGAGACAGTCAAGCAAGAGTAACAGTTTCATTTTGTGGGATTTGGATGGAATCTTGAAACTATGTTCTAAACATATGGAAGAAAAATCATATGGTAAAGTGTAGTTTAGAACCAACATCAATTTCAACAGCAATTATAATAGCCATAAAAATGTGCAAGAAAAGTTAAACCATTCTTGCATTGGTCTCTGGCTTGAGACATATTTTTCTTATGAACTAAGATGGGGGTAAGGGGATGACATCATAAAACAAAATTAGCATGAACCAGTCCAGCCAGAACAAAACAATTTGTCATGAACAGCCAGCTTAGCAAATTCTTGATGTTAACAAAATGTGGGGGCCTCATCCAAGCCCAAGCAGTGAACATTTGGAAGCAATTCGAGGTTTCTTCCTGGCTGTCTACTCTTGTGCAAGGAGCAAAGAAGGAGCGTTGTGCCAGGTAGGACAGAGAGTTTTTACACATTGAACAAGTTTACAGTTCACAAGTTTTACAAATTCATTCCTCAGGAGCTAATGCAATAAGTTCACATGCTCTTAAAATACATCACCTTACTGCATACACCAAGAATAAAAGTACCCTGAACACTATCTTAAATATATCATTCTACACTATCATTATACTACACCCTTTTGGCTTAGTGTAGTATAATGAAATTTCACAGGATGAAATGTGTTTTGAGTTTTGTACAATGTATATATATTTCAGCTTACATTTAAAACAGACTGCATTTGTAAACCACCTGACACCCTCTGGCAGTAGGATCAGCAATGTCTGAAACTGGAAGCCAGATTCCAACACCAGTACAATAATTGGAATAAATGTATTGTTTCCCAGTGTCAAATCAGAGGAGTGATGGGATGAATGTAATCAGAGGGAATTTAGAATGAATCAGGAAAGATTTTGTAAAAGTGAGATCAATTAGACCATTTGCCAAAAGAAATTTTGGAAGCCTCATTTAAAGCCAAACGAAGCACTAGAGACACATTGTAGAGAAAATTCTGTATTGGCACAGGAGATGGACAAGATAATCTCATGGGTCTTTGCTATTGCTAATTTGTTAGTCTGTGGTAAGTTTAAACAGTGATGTGTCACATCTTGCAGACAGTTTGACCTATAAAAGTGCAGGAAATAAGCTGTTCCTGACAATGGACCTCTATACTGTGTGTGTCACAAACATCACTTTTCAAGTGAGAACAGGCATCCCAGAATGGATTTGAAGTTGACCTGAATTATAATTCATAAATTTACTTCTTGCTATGTGACCTTTTACAGTACTACGCAGAATAGGAATACAACTTGAATACCAGCTTATTGAGAACTCTACATTTCACAGTGACATGCTTGTCAGTATTTTAACATAAGGCTCCAACACCAAAAGCTTTTGATAAACCACAGGGACCAGGACTGCACATTCTTTCATAGAGGAGGGCTAGAAGGCCTATTAGCTTGTCTTCCTATTTAAACAAAAATGTCTTCCTCAGCCAGAGAGGAGGCAATACCGCTCAGCAAAACCAACATATGAAACTGAACTTTGCTGGAAATATTTAGGACTTCCTGGTAAAAATATAACTCTATTGATAGCATAAAATAGTATTTAACTTGTGTCATTTGAAATTGGGAGTGGAGGTGAAGTGTCTGTAGAAGGACTGGGTGTATCTACCCTCTTGAGAGTCTGAAAATTCTTGTCATTTGGTGCAAATTAGTCCATTCTAAGGTTGGGTTTGGCTAATCAGTATGGCTGGATCAAACCAATGTTTAAACATGGTGCACACTGGACGAAGGAAACATCCTGCTAGAAAGCAATTTAGCAGAAACCATCTTTAAACCACAGTTGCTTAACTCTGCTGGGAACCCAACGTAGACAGGACTTGAGAGATTGGACATTTCTAAAGGTTTGTAATTATGAGAACATAAGAATGGCCCTACTGGGTCAGAGCAAAGGTCCATCTAGCCTAGTACCCTGTCTTCCGACAGTGGTCAGTGCCAGGTGCCCCAGAGGGAATGAGCAGAACAGGCAATCATCAAGTGATCCATCCCCTGTCACTCATTCCCAGCTTCTGGTAAACAGAGGCTAGGGACGCCATTCCTGCCCATCCTGGCTAATAGCCATTGATGGCCCTATCCTCCATGAATTTATCTAGTTCTTTTTTGAACCCGGTTATGGTCTTGGCCTTCACAACA